GATAATAACAATAATAACGATAATAACTGTAATTATTTATATTATTATCGATAGATCTCTCGATCGTCTTAGAATGATCGTGATAAACGACAAACGATTCCTAGACGTTCAAGTTGCGAACCGCTAGACAGCCGCAAACGGGAATTCATGATAAATGCTTCTACCGTAATTACTTTTCCGACAAGACAGCTTTTTCCAGAAATACGTCTTCTCTCATTTCCTCTTTTTCTTTTTCTCTTTTACGCCAAAGTTTCCGGTGTATTACTCGCATCACTAACATCGACGGAATTTCTTTTCAATTCGGAGTACCTAAATATCTATCTATTGATAACCCCGTTAATGTAATGTTTGAATTCGAGAAATATTCAAAATACGAGATTTAAAATAATCCAATGATTTCTTTCCCCTCAAGATTTCACTTTCGTAAAAAGGAATAAAAATATATCCAATATTCATATTACAACTACAATCATCTTCTTCGCCATATTTTCTATTACAATTAGATAATGCTGTTTTGTTAATATTTATATATCTTTCGTATCTCCTCATAAAGTTTGTCCGACTTTAATTGGTCGTTGTTGCGAACAAATTTCTGAAATAATGTTACCCAAGAAGAAATTATATTCTGACGGTAAGAGAGAAGGTGAAACAAAAAAGGAGAGAGACAAAGAGAAAAAGAGAGAGAGAGAGAGAGAGAGAGTCGGCACGAGTCGCTGAATTTGCGGGAGAAATAACTCGAAAAGTAATAAAAGGGAGATTCCTATCGTCCAAGACAATTAGCGGAGCATATAAATATGACGTATTTATAGTCTGTCAGCCGTATCTTACTCGCTTCATTCTTCTTTTTCTTTTTCTCCTCTTCTTCCTCCTTTTCTTTCGTTTCTACCTCCTTCTTCTCGCCGACTAACCCCGCGCCATTATCGTAATTCAAACTATTTAATTAATGTTTTCCCCCTACTGAGAACGAAGAGATACGAAAGAATCGAAGACAAATAAATCATAATAAAGATATGATATAATAGTATGAAAAAATTTCCTCGTGACGTAACTATTTTTATTAGTGTTTTTGACAATTCTATGGGTAGATATTATATTGCCTGAATGTTTTTATACAAGCTAGGAAAGAAGCAAAAAGAAAGAAAGAAAAAAAAAAGAAAGATGTAAAAAGAAAAAATAAAGTCTCTCGTGTATAACGAATGATGATCGATTCGATTTCGAGTGGAAGCAAAAAAACGAAGCAGCCGAATAGAGAAAGACAGAGAGACAGAGAGAGAGAGAGAGAGAGAGAGAGAGAGAGAAGAGAGAGAGAGAGAAGGAAAATAAAAGAAATGTCGAGGACAAGAGATGTAGGCTAAGAAGATCGTGCGAGGACAAGAGATAAGAACGGCTTCGTTGCTCTTGTGCGAAGCGATAATAAGACCGGCATAGTTTTTGCTTATAAGCTGTCGATTTTCTCTTAGTTCTCTCTAGGGACCAAACCCCAGAGACTAATTATTGGATCCTTGGGGAAATACGATACAGAATCTCTTTTTTCACGCTCTCGTGGACCGAAGGAGATAACGACGCTCGTAGTGGAACATGACAAAGTGAAGATTCTCTGAAATCGAAACGATATGTTTTCAGGTAATGAAATTAAGATAAATTAATCCTCGAAAAATCATTATTCATTTTAATGAGCTGTAGATTGTATTGATATTAGTGTGTCTTGGAAAAATTAAGAATGCTTCTATTGAAAGAAAGATCTATCTTCAAATTTGAGGAAAAAAAAAAAGAACGCATTTATACATTACATTAAAATATTAATATGTTTTAAAAAACTAGAGATATGGAAAAATCATTAAAAAAAAAGTTGAAAAAAAAAAACACACACACACACACACTCGGGTACGTGCGCGCATATTTAGCTATTTAAAAAAAAAAAAAACACAAAATAGCTAATAGATCATAGATCCAATGTAGAATAAAGAAAAACAATTTATCGAGGCTGGACAAATCTACAATCTGATTCGTATGGAAATTTTTAAAGATTAACCTTCGAGACGATTCAATTTGTCGGTCGTGGTGCGAGTATTTCTAGCGGCCCGTGGCGAAATTCACAGCGTGGCACGCAAACCACGTTCGAAAATTAGCTCGTGACCGAATAGAAGAGACGGCGGTATTGGTGATCGCTATGGTAGTAGTTAGAATAAGAAGAGTGGATGAGGGTAAAGGTGGAAGGAAGAGAAGTATGAAGAAGAAAAGAAGAAGAAGAAGAAGAAGAAAAAGAAAAGAGAACGAACGTATTTTCAAAGAAGGAAAAGAGAGAGAGAGAGAGAGAAAGAGAGAGAGAGAGAGAAAGAGAGAAATGAAGAGAGAGGGAAAATAAGAAAGATAGAGAGAGAAAGAGAGAGAGAGAGAGGAGACATAGGGCTGGGAGAAGGCGGACGGTGGAAGAAAGAAAGAAGTTTTGAAAAGGGACTAACGACCGGCAGTTAACGGCGGCTCTGAAATTGCTGGTTGCCCGCTGCATCTTCTACGGCCAGGCCAGCCCGAGAATTATTAAACTGTAGTTTAGTTTAAATTAAGTTATTACTCGGAGCCCGTACGTTTTGTTTGTCCTTTTGTTCCACGACTATGACCCTTTCTCTCTCTCTCTCTCTCTCTCTCTCTCTCTCTATCTTTATCTTCTCGTTCTCTCTCTCTCTCTCTCTCTCTCTCTTTCTCTCTTTCTCTCTTTCTCTTTTTCATACCTGTGTCTTCATCTTCATCTTTTCGTCTTTTGACTTTTTATTTCCCATCATTTGTAAAAATTTCACAATGTTTTATATTGATCAAAAATTTGTGACAACTTCAATCCTCCTCCTAATTGGTTTAATCTCCTTTATGTCAACCTATTAACTTTTTGTCACCACTTTGTTAAAACGTCTAAAATAGCAGATATATGATAGCCTTCTGCTAGTTTTCTTTAATAAATATTATGTCTTCTGCGAAATACGAAGGAAAAAGAAAATATAAATAAAAGAGAAAAGCTGCGAGAACGGCACCAAGCTTTTTCTCAGGCATTACCGTATTGAGAATCCAGCCATTATTTTACGATTAGAAAGACTGAGCGAAGAAGGGTATATTAGGCTACTTAACAAAAAAATGTTGATCCGACGTGGTAGGGTTAACAGACAGAAGAAGCGTCAAGAGAAGTTAAACGGAATGTAAAGTTCCTTTCTCTTTCTCCTCTCTTTTGTTAAAAGCGGGAAATTCAAAATAAATGGGCCTTTCACGATATTATCAGTATTTGCGACATTTTTTTGCTTATGCAAGCCCAAAGAACATCGAAAGGTTTTGCAATTCCTTCAATAAGAATATTTATCCAATCGAATTACTCTTAATTGAGATAAATGTTTTGTTTAATGAAGTAAAAAGATACAAACATTTTTTATCGATTCTATTTAAAGCACTTATTGATGGCAAATAATTAATCGCTTAATTTCTTCGTTTTTATAATTATTTCAAACGTTAAAGAAATAAAATGTATGCAACAACAATTTTTCTTTTTCTTCTTTTTCAAACGGTTCCAATCGATTGAAACTTATCGAAAATTCGAATAAAAATACATAAAATATGTGTACGAGATTCAGAGTTTTACTGATAACATTCAGATCGGTGGAATACAACTTTTGAAAAACGAGAAAAGAAAACGATATAGTTGAAGGCGGAAAGAAAAAATAACTTAGGTAGAAGAATAACGGTCGAGTAGAGCTCACGCACGCGATGCTGACAGCAAGCATAGCCGTTGAACTAATTATGTAAACGAGACTTTTGCAAAACTCGATCCCAGAAGAGCGGCAACGATTTCAACTTACCTGACGTCTCAACGCGTGTTACATTAATTAGAATGATAACGATTAAACCATAGTGGCAATGCAGTAAACGTATTACACTGAAATATATACGATTATTTACATTTTTAAAAATTGTCATTTCTGATAACGTATATATTTACAATGTTTTTTCTTTTCTTTTTAAAATTCTCATTTTCTCTTTCTCTCTCTCTCTCTCTCTCTCTCTCTCTCTCCCTCTCTCTCTCGCTCTCGCTCTTGCTCTCTGTCTTTCTATCGGTAGCTCATTTGTGATCGTATATATGTAAGTACCTATCTAAATGTGTCGTAGAAAAACGAAAAAATATTTCTAGTAAAAAACTATGATATAAATTCAATGTAAAATAACGATAACACGTATTCAAGCAGCAAAATTCAAAAGTAGTGCCAAGTCACGCAGCCGTGCACGTTTGTTATATTATTATTCTAAATACTGACGATAATGTCATCGTAACGAAACACGTCGAAAACTTCACGTTCCATCGATAAACTTAGAAAAATTTATGTACGTACATATCTACCTGAGTTAAATACTATTTGTAATAAACACTTTTAAATATGAAACAATAATTAAGACAAGAAGAATTGACATCATATTATACAAAAAGAAAACAAGAAAAATAAGCAAAAAAGAAAGAAAAAATAAAAAAGTAAACGCTCATAAGTTGACTGATGCCGACGAACAGAATGTTTAAAACAGTATAGTTAAGTGGCGCACCCTTTCAAGCATAAACACGAGTTAGGTATATGAATGAGATCACGTAAAAAACAGATTTCCACCCTCAATCGTCTTACGGATTTTCCGCCGGCACGGAACGTGATTTTGGCTCGACTTCTGTGTTGAATAGGGAGTCGAAAAAGGGCGTTGCGGATAGGGTCTAAGCTTGTAAGCGATCCCAAGGGCTCGTCAGGAACGATCTTATGATTGACCGCGTTACAACACTCCCAATAGACCACTTTTTGATCCGCCTTTCGAGAGAAGATTTTTTTCCTTTTCTCTCGGAGATAACTATGATATTAGCCTGCCAGACTATTACACACACATTGCTGGAATCCGTTGATTACGAACGATAGCTATTGATTAAGATGAATATTATGAAAGGAAGAGAAATACTAGTTAAAAGAGACTACAAATATTAGGAACCGTACCTTTTTTCTCATCATCCTCATCGCCATGATCTGCATTGTGATGAAGATGATGAGCTGCCGGATGATGACCGGTGATCGTCGGTACCAACGGATGATTTCCTAAAGCAGGATGAGGATGATGAGGATGATGATGACTGAGAAATCTGACAGCCGCTGCAGCTGCCTGATGCTGGGCCTGCATCGTCTGTTGAACTTGGCTTTGGACCTGCCCAAGAACCGGATGATGAGGTGGCCATCCCGTAAGATGGAACGGGAAGACTGGTGTCGCTCTTTGAAATAATCTGGCCGGTGCCAGAAGCGAGCCGCCGGATGCAGTAGACCCGCTACCAGGAGGCAAAGGAAAGGACAAACCGCCTCCTGGTTCCAGGACCATGTTTGGTACCAGCTCGATGATTGATCTTCTCTCCTGCGGAGAGGTCTCAATCTTTTCTCATCAAAGGAATATTCAAGAATTGGATATTCTTTTTATGTTCTCTCTTTGAGGCCTTTTCGATCACATTTTCCGATTCTCCCTTGATCCATCCGTCGACAAAGCTTATACGATCATTTCCACAAGCTCCGATACGATATGATATGAAAATATTTTGGCATAGTCTTTCGGGAACAGAGATTCGATAGAACGTTTGTGGAAATAAAAAAAAAATAAACAACAGAAACCAACCGCGTGTCTCGACGCTATATCCACTGTCCGTCGGATAGTGCGAGTTAAACCATGCGACCTTATCGATAAGTATTATGATGTTTTCATTAATTATCAAGCATATCTGAAAAAAACGTTTACTATGTAAAGCGTAGATGTATCGTAGCACGCACGAGTCGTGTATGGCATACGTCAGGTGTCACGATAAGGAAAATACCGGCGACAAGAGATCGAGTTTACCGAGAAACCTTTTTAGCCTTTTTATGCTTTGGTACTTTCTCGATTCATAGACTAGACGTCGGTCGATCTAGGAATAAAGGATCGATAAGATACAATGACAAAATTATAACAATGAATCCATTGACACTTCAGCATTCCTTTTAGTCATTCCACTGACAACACAGATTGGCAAAGGTCCTGAACAAAACCAAACAGCGAGAATTTCATGCATTGCTGTCAACACCGGATCCTGACGATTTAGGGAAGAGTCACTAACACTATCTTTGTCTTTTCCAAACAATAAACGTCAACGCGACACTTTCGTCCATGTTAGGTGGCCCTCAAGGTATTCCTCAGAAGAAAAGAAATCAAAACCGTAGTTTTGATGGTTTGGGCTAAATTAAAAAAAAAAAAATCGTCGATTGGATATAAAACGCGAAACTCGCCGATTTTCCAGGGAATCCTTGCTCGGTAAGTCGAGCTGTCAGTTGTTGTTGAGACCCACTACGGCACGAGCCAACGGCACAGCACTATCTGCCCGGAGACTCGAGTAAACGGAGCTCCCCTCTGTTCGCCTAACCAAAACTGGTTTGGGTTTCCACCCAAGGTGATGTGGATTGGCCGTCCCACTGTCGGCCTCGCGGATACCACGATATCGTCTACCAATCCGGAGTCACGGATTACTCGCTCGGCAACGCCCACGGGGAGCTTTTTTTGCCCTCGAATTGAATCGACGCCCCTTCCTTGCTCACGCTCGACCCTTGGTGGGGACGAATCAATTGGCGGCTGCCCTGAAAGCGGCCGCAAGATGGCTCCTCCCTGCCCACACACGCGCGCGCTTCACTGAGCTACCCCTAGACTCATTCCCTCACCAACTCAAGCGAGTCTAGCCAAGTCACCCGATATGCCACTGAACTTACCCTCTAATTCCATCCACAAGCTGGACCCCGTGGCATCTCTATTAAATATTCCACGCTTCGGAACTCTGATTACGGAACGAGTGCGGGTTTAGCTAAGAGGAATGACAGATATTATCGAAGATCCTTGATATCTAAAGCTTTCCAAAGTGATCCTAGATCGACGAATGATCTTTCATCGATCGATTACAGAGAAGAGCCAAAGATATAATAAGTCAAACTACTATCGTAATGACACTCTAACCTCGCTCCTTTCTCCTACTTCGCTGGTAAATCCTCATCCCCTAGCCCCTTCTACTTCCTTCCTTCCATTCTTCCTTCACTCCAATATGGGCGTATCTTCCGCCCCTCTAACCCCGTGGGCGCGATCCTCTTTTAATAAGAGCAGAACTCCCAGTTCGAAGGCGTTAAGTAATTACATCTATTCTCTTCTGGGGACGGAATTACCTTAGCCCACGGGGTGGGAAAAATTAGGAAATTAAAATTAACTCCCGCCACGATCCCGACTTACTCCTCCTTGCTACTCTTCCATCCCTCTTCTCCTTTTCTCCCGCTTTAAATTGTCCCTTGCCTCTTTCTCTCTCTCTCTCTCTCTCTCTCTCTCTCTCTCTCTCTTTCTCTCTCTTCTTTTCTCTCGTTTCTTTTCTTCTTTCTATCTTCTTCTTTCGTATTATCTCGCTCACTCCACAAGAACGCTCCATTCTCAAATTTAGGAGGAGCCGGCGGCCATTACCGCTTACGTAATCTTTTTACAGTGGCGGCAGCACCTTGTTAGCAAAGTTATTTAGCGCGTGACGCCAAGTTAGTCCTGATCCAAGCAGCTCGATCATAGCTTCTATCTAGTCTTTCGAAGAAGACTCGTCAAAGGCATTCTTTCATACGTTCTACCTATTAAAGTTTTATTGTGATCAGTTATCTTGTCAGTATCCAATTTGTACATTGCATTATTTTCTTTTATAATTGATGTTTATTCCAGCGTTTAAAGAAAAACGGTCGATTTCATTTTTAACAAATTGACAGTCGAAATCTGTCTTAACTCATTTCACAAATCTTTAATTTTTGATTTATGTTACAATCAAATTAATTGTATTTATCTTTTCAATTTTTTCGATATATATATATATATATATGTATATATATATATATATATGTGTGTATGTATATATATATATATATGTGTGTATGTATATATATATATATATATATATATATATACACACGTATTGGAGAATGTTCTTCCTTTGGATTTTTTTGTCTATTGCCTGGTAAATTTTCGGACATTTTCATATATCCACTCAGATCGTATGTTATAGTTTAATGAGAATCGACATTATCGTGCGAGCGTTAAAATTCTTCCACCGAGACGGGATCTTCTCATTCTTCCTCTCAATATACGAAGAAATTCTCGAAAAGTTTATGGGCGCGAGCGCACACACAAGAGCAGCTGAGCGCCGGTGAAGCACGCCCTCGAGGGAAGAACTTATTCATAAGATTATTTCCCATTTTCACCATGACGCTACCGTATCGTTATTTAAGTTTTATATTAAAGCACGGTTCGGAGAGAGCCGGCGTAGCCTCTTCGTGATCTATGGTCCGCGCGTGTCCTGCTTCTTTCAACGTATCCGCCTAAACATGAGAGATATCGCGCTCGATCAATTTTTCATAACCCCGTATTCGCCGCAATATCCGACACCGTACCCTTTTCTCTCATGCTACTCCAAGTGAAGCGACGACTTTCCACGTTCTTTCGTGCTTCGACTTCTTCCTCTTTCTCCTCCTTCGAGAGGACAAACTTCTAGATCTCTTCTTAATTTGATACTATCCCAAAGAATTTTAAGTATCCTCGTCATTCATCATCTCGATCTCCAGTCAAATACCAGTAAAATTCTAGGTTAAAATTTTTATGACGAAGACAAATTTTAATAAAAAAAATGTCTTTATTTATTTGTTGGAAAATACTATTTATTTTGAACATCGGTATCATTAAAATTCGATTTAACGATTTATATATTAGATTCTTTGATATTATAATAAAATTTGTAATTGAATTAAAGCAAATTTAAAGTAATGCAATTTTATCAATAAAATGATAAAAAATAAAAAAGAAAAAGGAAAAAAGAAAAAGGAAAAAAGAAAAAGGAACGTTGGATTCACCGATGTCGTTCCATCAGAATTAGATTTCGATCTCTATTCAGGACATTAAACGCCATCGTCGAGCGGTCCTCATCGTTGGCCTTCCATTCGTATCCTTTCCATCCCTCTTTCTACTTTACCTTTTCGCGAGCAGATCGTCTCCCTCTTTCCACTCAGTCGATTCGTTCTCGCTCTCTCACGAATTGAATCTCCCGTGAAACTCGAAAGGAGTTCGGAGGGTAAGAGGCTAAGATGAAGGAGTAGCAGTGGTTGCCGTGGCAACGATAGAGGGTTTCCCGACGTGGTTGCCCGGGCAACCCCTAACCAAGCGACCCCCTAAATATGCGCGACGAAGAGGACAAGAGAGGAAGGACAGAGATAGAGAGACTATGTATGCTTCCAAAGGTGGAAGGAAGGGGTAGGCGAAAAAGGTGGGAAAGGTGGCTTGGCAACTGTTACCACGAAACGTGAGGAGACCTAGTTAATTACTAAACCGTTTTAATCGTCGGCAAAGTTCCGACGATGCTGCACCAACGATGGAGCCTGAGCCAAAGAGAGAGCGAGAGAGAAAAAGAAAAAGAAAGATACGAAGGAAGAAGCGAGAGGAAGATAGGCTCCAGGGAATGTGGCGGCTGTGTAAATTAGGCACTCACCAGTCTTCTCTTTTCTCTTTCTTTCTCTCATGTTTCTTTACCCTCTTCTTCACTCCAATTTCTCTTACGTAGATACTTGCTCTCTTGAGTCGTCGCTGAGAACTGTCTCTTCGTGTTGAGACTTCCGATGAATAAAGTACTCCTCGAAAATTTTTCTAGAACGACACGTCCTGTTTGCTCATTACATTGCAATGTTCTTTAAAATACCAAAGAGATAAATATCTATTACTCTTGTAATTTCCAAATTTAAATCTGATTATAATGGAATAACAATAAAAAAAAAAAAAAAAAAAAAAAAAAAAAAAAAAAAAAAAAAAAAAAAAAAAAAAGAAATGAGGAAATCTGGGAAAAACTAATGGCGAAAGAAGTAAGATTTTGCAATGGTCGATTATATTATAGAGGCAAAACTGGTTGGTCGTCTTGATCATCATCGCCAAGAACGATTCAGTTGCACCTTCTTGCTAACGCTAAGAGCCCGGACGACTAATTAAGTACGCCGTAACTTAATTGAGGTGCTGTGTTGGAGGTGGAGGCGAGCCGAAGATACAGGAGAAACGCTAAACTGTGTAAACATCGAGCTAATTACTTCGAGACTTTATCGCGCCACCGCGACTCTGTTAGATTGCTCGGAGAAAGATACACGTTACGAGGCTTTTGCCGTACCACGGATTCGCGTATGTGTGTGGGTCTTAAACGTTTGTGAATGTTTTCATGTACACAGAGATAATCAAGAGAAATAAGAAGCAGGACAAAGAGATAAAGAGAAAGAAAGAGAATTTAGCAAGGACGGAAAATATGATTTCTGTTGTATCGCATAAAGAGAACGACATCGATTTAATTACTGCGTATTTTTACAAGAACTCTCTTAACCCCAACACTTTTCTAATCTACTAACTCTTCCGTTCCTCCCCTTACCTCCTCCTCTCCTCACCCTCTCAACCATATGATTTTTTTCGCCCGTTTCTTGGACGACTCGAATCATTGGCCGGATGGCCTTTTTCTCGTTATAATCGAACGACGATAAAGTGATCGTACGTCATAGGCGGTTAGTCCGGGGTCGTGACCAAACACGGCATTAGAGATATTTCAATTCATGAATAGTTCTCTCTCGATAACACTCCATTGATCCGAATGGCTAAAATCGATCGGTGAAATTTTCCGGTTGGCAAGAATAATCGGAAATTCAATCGTTAAATTGAAAGAAAATAAAAGAAAATACGTAATCGGTCAACCATTTCAGAGAAAGGAAGATCAAATGAAAGAGATTTCGACAGAAAAAAATCCCTCTCTTTCACGACATGAAAGTCTCATGGCGGAAGCATCGGAATCGTTATTTCGCGCTACGTCTGCGAATAAATTATTCAGGCTGAATAAGCAAACGCCTGGTATTCCCTCTCTTTCTCTCTTTCTCTCACCCTTCGTAGAATTATTGTCACGGGCTTCCTCCATGTTGGCGGCCCAAGGCGGGTCACCACGAATTTGTGGTCCCCTTTGCAAGTCAAATTGTCTCCATAAACAAGAGAGCCTGGAGAAAGACATGAGAGAGAAAGAGAGAAAGACAAAGAAAGATAGAGAGACAAAGAGAGAGAAAGAGATAGAGATAGAGAGAGAGAGAGAGAGAGAGAGAGAAAGATACATAGGAGCAAAAAGGTTGGAACTAAAGGAGAATGGGAAGGAAGAGAAAGAGGAGGAAGTGTCTAGAAGAGAGAGAAGGAAAGAGAAGCTTACTCGTGCAGGAACGGCTATAAAGAGGGTGCGGATAGGGTGCTGGCTAAAAGAGAGATGCAAAGATGGCCGCGACCACGCTTCTACCACTTCTTCTTCTTCTTCTTCTTCTTCTTCTTCTTCTTCTT